GGATTTCATCCTGGTGCCTTGTAGGTTTTTGCCTTAGCATATGAAACCTCTTTACGTGTGTGTGCTCTTTGCCAGTGGATTTTCGCTTTTATTTGTTTACTTCAACCTCATTTTGCATTGTGATTTTGTTCCATTATGCATTCTTTGATAAACATATAATGGAAGAATTGTGCATTATGTCAATAAACTGAATGTTGCATCATCAGTTCACTCTTTTGGCTGCATCATTTTTATAATTTTATTATGTGCATCATGGTTCAGGACTTTATCAGGACTTGGTAATTCCAGTGACAAATTTCCACAATGAAGACAAAGGCTTCATGGTTTTGGCTGGTGATGTTTTTGATGTTCCTATTAGAAAGGATATTATTCATCGTGTTGTAAGATGGCAGCTTGCAAAACGTCAACAGGTAGTTCTTAGTCATTATATTTAGATATTTGAAGCATAATATTCTGGCTACCTGGTAGTTTTATTAAAATTGTAAGGAACAGAGTGAAAGGCTACTCTTCTTTGTTTTTAATCATCTAGATGAAATGCATATTAACAGAACTAGAAAATTACAAACACAGAAGTTAAGGCAGAGAAAGCTACTTTACTCTGCTAAGTCTCACCAACAGCGAAAATTAATTAAGTACAATGCGTCTCTACCACCACTCACCTCAACATAAGAAAACCAAATCAATGTACCAGATCCTAACTCTCAGACAAGAAATATAGCGAGGCTGGTCCAGTTGTTTCTTAAAGGGAATCTGACTTATGATTAATCTTCTCTCTTTTACATTATTTTATTTGGAGTTTCTTGGTCCACATGACTTGAGTCAATAGTTCATTTTTCTGCAATTTGACTACAAGGAATTAGTTATGGTGATGATTTTACATATAAAAGGTAATTTCGTCAAGTTAAATGCTGATTGATTGGTCAACAGGGGACACATTCAACAAAAACTATTAGTGAGGTCAGTGGGACTGGGAGAAAGCCCTGGCCACAGAAGAAAACTGGTCGAGCAAGGCATGGATCACTGCGTGGCCCACAGGTGATGCTTTATTCTGCTTAATGATTGCCTGGTTGGTTTAGTTCTGGACTTTCAGTGATACTGAGATACTTTCTGATGGTTTTAATGGATTGGTAACAGTTCAGAGGTGGTGCTACCATGCATGGTCCTAAGCCAAGAAGTCATGCCATAAAGGTGAATAAGAAGGTTCGCCGTCTAGGACTGAAGATTGCACTGTCTGCTCGTGCAGCAGAAGGGAAGGTAGGTCTCTTTCAAACACACATATGTAAGATGCTGCCTGTCTACTGGCTGGACTAAGTAGATGATGAATATTCTGTACAATGAGGTCATTGAAAGTTCCAAACCATAAGCTAAATGTGGGTAGATTACCTATTTGCTAGGCCTTGCACATCACATGCTGCGTTGGATGTTCTTTCATTCCTATTTTGTTTGAAACATTGTGTATTTGTCCTACTTTCTATGTTCATGTGAAGCTATGATGCGATTCAAGTTTCAAGTGATTTATAAAACTAATCTAGAGAATATTGCATGAACAACAGCTTCTTGTTTTCGAGGACTTGGAGGTCCCCACACATAAAACCAAGAACATTGTGAACTATGTTGAGCAAATGGAGGATACCAAGAAACTTTTGTTGGTGGATGGCGGCCCCATAAATGAAAAGTTAAAGCTGGCTACACAAAACCTACACTATGTCAATGTACTACCTTCAATTGTAAGTTAAATGTCTCATCCTGCTTTGCATTTTGTGGTTTGAAGTGTAAGTACTTGATTTTTAGGACTGATAAGATGGTTAGGTGTTAGATTGATTCTATGGATTGCCCCCTTGTTATTGAACTGCCTTTCTCAAGCCCCATTGTATATCTCTTTTTTCAGGGGTTGAATGTGTACAGCATCCTGCTGCACAACACATTGGTTATGTCCCGTGATGCTGTAAACAGGATTGTTGAGCGGATGCATACTCCAATCAACCGCTGAATACATAGATGCACTTTTGTGTCAACTCATTTTTGTGGCAGAATGGGGACCGGTACATTGTTTTCCAATTAGAACGAATGGGTGCTAAGAGTAATCTGCATCTTGTTGATGTAGAATTTGCAAATGCATGGCTTGGTACTGGTTTCACCTTGTATAACAAATGACACTCAGCAATGGATTCTGTAGTTTGATTTTTGGTTAACTGTCGCACTAGATAGACAATTCTTTTGAATTTTGCACGGTTGCTTAGGACCGTTGCTTAATCAGATTTCTGCATTATAAAGGGCTTGCAGGATTTCTGTTCATTAATTGTCACTTTCATTTCCTTTGTTAATGTTGATGGCATGCATTTCCCCTGTTGAATAAATACGTTTGAACCAAATTCCATAATTTATGATTCAAAATGGTATAAGTTTGTTTCCCTTGCTTCCAAGGAAAAAAGAGGGAAGGTATCTATTTAGACCAAATGTCAATTATATGTTTGAGCGGAAAGAGATCGGTTTGTCTTAAATAAGACCTGAAGTTTGTAAGTTTGAGTTTTATAAATAGAAAAATAATTGATGAGAGAGTTTTTTTTTTTTTTTTATAGGGGTTAACGTGACTTAACTCTAAACTAATTAAGATTTAATATGATTTATGATTACTAATAAATTAATACTAAAAGAAACTTCTATCATGTTAGTGTATACACAATAGAGTTTTTCTATGTTTCCTTTTTTCAAAAATATAACAGATATGGAAATTTAGCTCCATTGGACCTCTAACTTTCTCAATTTTTTTTGCCTTTTAAAATTTGCATTGCTTGACACACTTGTTGACAGCATGTTAGGTGATGCGGCCTCTTTCATGAATGCAATTGGAATAAAAATATCCAATTGTTGGTATTTTCTTTTTAAAAAGTTGTTTCAATTTAATTTTTTTTTTTTGTTTAAAGTTGGTTAAATAAAATAATATTAGTGTGATTTATGAGGAAACTTTATTTAAGTGTATGTATTATATAGCAAGGGTGCTCTATTAAACAAATAAATATCACTATTTTAATATTACCATTATTTGGGAAGAAATAGAGATGAAATAGTGTTTTTTTGGTTTAATTATGATTGAGGTTAAAAATGAAAATATAAACATCAATTATTATATTAAACTAGTCTGTAGGTCCTAAATGAATATAAAATGGGACAATTGAATCATGTAATGGACTGTGGGACAACTAGAATATTGTACAATAATAATGATAATAGTAATAACATTTTAAATAGCTTAATAATATTTTCTTAATAAAAATAAAAAATTTAAATTTAAATTATATAATATGCACTAAAAATGAATAAAATGGGAGAATATAATAAAAGAAAAGGGGGTAGAGTGAGAAATTTCTCTATTTTAATACAAAAAGTCAGAAGAAAGGG